AATACAAAGTAATGTTGCATAAGTCAGGCACCGTCAACGCACACACTAATGATTTACGTTTATTGTGAAATAATGTTTATGGGCGTTCTCCCACTAAGGGAGTGGACACAGGTCCCTCTTGTAAAGAATTAGGATTTTTTTTGAAAATACAATTGTTTCACATTTGATTTATATATGTATAGATTGATTCTCGATTGACGTATCGGACGAGTCTGAGGGAAAAATGGTAAGACCGGTCCCAGGCGACTGGTGGGCAATTTTCCCGCCCAAAACAGACTCCTGTGTTCATCCTCCTTCCTATGGAAACCTGGGACCTGGTTTCCAGGTTTCACTGCTGCTCAGTGTGTCCGAGCCGATACCGCCATCTTGAATTCTTAATTGGGCTCCTGATTGGCTGAAAATAACCTCCGCCATCTTGGATTTGGAAAACAATAACATTCATTGTTCTCCAAACAATAGCCTATTGTCTTTCTCGGCTCCTGATTGGCTACCGTCCCTATGAGCGCCCTGTACTACTTAGTATTTATGCTAATGTGCGTTTACGAGAAATAGATTTTTTTCTTGCTTAGCTTAGACTCGGTTAACGATATCAGATCACCTGAGGGACAATAAATGTTGGTCGGAATATACAGCATTTTAGAATACAGTTAAACAAATGATAAAACAGCGTTCCTTTTGTGCTGGTCTCTTTACTCTCGCCATTCTTCGTGCATCTTTCTCAGAAATAGAACCAGCAATTCAAACGTAAATCAAAACAGTTGTGGCCTCACCTAATGATAATATCTAGTAAACCTATATATTATTTATTACACGGGCCAACACACAAAACATGCAAAATGATTTTTTATGAAGGGCTTTCAAGGTCACGCCATCTCACTACGGGTCATGTCTTTGTCTTCACCCGCATAATGTAGGTAATGTCACAAGTGGGTACTCGGTTGTTAACTTGAAATTATGTGCATGGTGCTCAACTGAACAGTTCGACTGTTGTCTGACGTAGATGCATCATTGTAGTTTTAGTCTAGCTTGGATTGCCTTCAGTCTCAATATATATATGTCGTGAGTCTACGTGGGCAAAACAGAATTTGATATGACACGAGCCCACGCGAGTTGTTCACATACTGATCAATCGTTTCTGTTTTCTGGCGGTTTTGCAATGGAACACAACGCAACATTATACCCTGGTATTGTTATTCATGATATGGTCATAGGGAATTGCTCTAGCCTGGGACAAGCCTAACACCAGGCGAAAATAGAAGCGGACGGCTAGATGAAGCCCAGCTGACTCATTGGGTGGGAGGGTGGGTCAACCTTTTCGCTTTCGCGGCCTAGAGTAGAGTGATGGGGTAGAACACGTGTTTTATTTTACACCGTCATTTGCATAATCCCCACTGTATCAATTACCAAAACAAATTGAGTTTGCATAGCTGAGTGGCTACTAAAGACTGATCGCTTACGATAGCTCAGCCAATCAGATTGCAGGTTTGCGTTTGTTTTAGTAGAATTCTATTAAAACTTGCAGGAGACAGAAAAATATTCTCTATTCCTTAAACAATGCTATATGAAATCACGAAAGGGACTAGTTTGAGACTCCTTGATTTCACATGAAACGATGGAATACGCGTATATGGGTTTGCCTTGCGCGAGGAAACCAATTCATAGAATATGGGATTCCCTTTATATATATGCACGTTATCTCATGGTATGAAAAGAGTGAAAAGTGAAGTATTCGAAATGATGTAGATGAAGATATGCGATGTTCCCTACCTTGGAGTAAATAGCTTTCAGTTCTTTGTCCCTGAGGAGCATTTCAATCACTTCATTGTTTTCAGTGGTAAGCTTTTCAAACTGGTCCCATCTATTTGATGAAGGTGGCCGTGGATATTTCTTCATCCATCCTCCGCACGCAAATCGATAAAAATCCTCACATGGGTCTACTGACGGGTCCACAGAATTCATCAGATCTGAATAACAAACATAGATTTGGTCGTTCAAACCATTTACTAAGCACACATTTAGCCATATTGCATTGACAGCAAGGTGTAACTCCGCCCCTAACGGAGTTTTGGCGTCGTATGTTTTGCGCTGGCGAAATTAAATAGGAAGAAACAAGCATCATCCCCAAGATCAGATATAGGACAAAAACAAGAAACTTAAACACGGAGCGAGCTTATAAAAGGCAAGGACACGCCACCTTTGAAGCACCTTGTTGGCTTCTTTTGTGTAATGGTGGAAAGCCGAAGTCTGGTACCGTCGCACAACAGCAGAAGTCGTGGAGAAATTTCGTTAAAACAACAGAGTCATTTACATAGAAAAATATAAACTGTAAATACTAAAAATACAGTGAAAATAAAACTTATATTAACACTGGAAGAAGCCTTTGGGAGAACAAGAACGATGAATTCTCTTCGTCACTTCACGAAACATTCAAATTTCGCCGCTGACTAAAATAACAAAGCTGATGCCCGCGATTAACGAGCTACCTGTTTCCATTTATCTGAGCATGCCGAGAAGGAAAGCAAATCTCGTAAAAGGTGATTTGGTTGGCCTGTGTTCACAGGCGGATTTTGGAGGGATATTCAAAATTATTCAGATTTATGAGAGTTATGATTGTGCAAACAAAATGCAAATTGAACAGTGCTGAGCTATTCCTCAAAGAAATTAGAAACAAAAAACACAAAAAGTAATACGAAGAAAACAGAGAGAACTTGAAAAATGGCAAAGTGAGATTTCGCCTGAATATTGACGTTAGAAAAGAGAAGGAAGACTCATGGCTGAATGCAAAAAAACAAAAAAACAAAAATCGCGTTCGTTAAAGACCGACAGAATTTGAGCAGCAAGAGTACAACAGCTGCCAATGTTCACCTTATGGAAGCTCTTTTATAACCGGGCTGAAGAATAACCATTTTACCTTAGATATAACGTATTACCTTCGCAGTCTGCTTTTATCTGAGACTTTTAAGAGTTTTAGTTTCCAAACTTATTTCTCAACCGCGTTTAATAATCGGATACTCCATTTTCTTTTCTGGCATCAAAAATAGCAGACACGGCATTTTATAAATTTGAGCAAACAGCGCGAATTCATACGATACGCTTTCGCAAGTGGAAGAACAAAATTTCGAAGTTGAAATACAAAAAGTCAATTATCTTTGTAACTTCTCCTGCAGCTACCGTTCATTTAGTTCAAAAGGTATTACTTTCTTCTAAAATAAAACAGAAAATTACACCCGTCGCTCTCCAGAATTTTGTGGCAAGCGCTAAAATTAGACCTGAGTGAATAAGCCAATCAAATGGGAGCATTGGTCGTCCGTTGGAATTTGCGATTGGCAGGCTGAACACCTCAGCCTTGTTATATAGGATCGCTCCGTGTTTTAAGCGAACTATTTTCTCACAAGAACACCTGCAGCGCAGCGCGAGTACTAAGAGAAATGAAAATTTATGTTATTGAATAAGTATAACCAAATTACAGGTAATTAGTCCTTGGCTCTTTAACTTAAGACTGGTTTCCATATAATCGATACGATCGCGACCTAGAAAGCTTCAGCAATCCTAGCGATCGTATAGAAACCATTCCCAACGATTGCCTAGATAGACTTTATTTTCATCTTTCATAGCGATCGTAGCGTCCGTTTCGAGCACAGCAAATGTATGGGATTTACAGAACACTTCGCAAAATACTTTCTCGATAAAAGTAAATATTTCTTATATATGGTGTACTGTCGTTCTTTTGGCTCAGCAGGTTTCAAGGATTCAGTTTACGGTCACTGTTTATTATACAGATAATAATAAAAGGGTGGAAAGTCCAACGGCTCTAAACTGGAACAGCTCAAGCGCCGAGGCGGTTTTCGGCCTGAAAATCCTATAGCTCGGCTTCCAAACTAAACAGCAGAAGAGAGAAAAGTTCTGCTAGTCTTCTTGTATCATTCAATCGCAAATTCATTAAAACGGCCCACTACTAGCCTTCGAACAGAACCCAGGACCGAAAATTGAGCAACCCTAAAACATGGAATCTGGAAACCGGAATCCGGAACCAGAAACCAGAATCCGGAATCCGGAAACGGAATCCGGAATCCGGAATCGAGATACCATGAATGACGATAGAAATAATTCACTTTAGCAATGTCTAATTAATAAATTTAGGGAAAAATTATTTTGTTGTTATTTATTTTCTTGACTTTACTTCAACCACAAACTGTAATTGTTACAAATTTATTGACTAGTTCTGAACAACCCTTAGCTATACATCTGGCACGGTTGTTCAAAAGCTGGACAAAGCTATCCAGTCAGGGTTAGTGATTTTTTTAACTCATAGCCTGCGAGCAGGCTCTAGGATCTCTCTCTAGTGTCAAGCGTCTTTTTGCGTTGGCATGTAAGCGAGTGCCTTCTCGCTGCTTCGCCGCTCGCGCCCCCGGCCCAAACACAAGTGCCTGATTGCAGGCTAAATTACCCATCTTTTGTTGAACCTGGCCCTGGTGAGAACGCAGTTCTTGCCTAGATCAAATTCCCCTGAGAAGACTGGTGAGTAGCACAAAAGCAACAAGCTATTGCGGTGAGTGTCTGGCAGTCTTTTAGCATCTTCTAACCGGCAACATGTGGTCCGATCCGTTCGCAAGCGAGAAGCAGACGGAAGTAAGTGTGCAACATTTCTATAAATTGTTGTAACATGATGGCCGGCAAGAATATGTAGTGGTAATTTGTAACAGTATCAGTGTAGAAATAGTGTTGATCTGAAATTATAGTCTCGAATCTATTGGGAAAGACAAACTTATTTAGACGAGCCAGGTTACATTTGCTGGCTTTACTTGTCTTTCCGGTGGTTGTTTTTTTGCCTTTGGCTCTTTTGCCCGTTTTAATGTCTTTCTTTTCAATGCGACAGCGGGACAGAAAAACGTAAACGTGTTGCAATGCGATGCTTTCCCGGGAAATCCTAATCCATTGTAATTGACGCTAAGAGGTTCTGTTGTTCCATTGGTTTGCGGATTCCGGATTATGGATTCTTGGTTTTATTAGGGTTGTCCCCGAAAATTTTCAAGCCGTCAAAATACGTAGCGACAAAAAGTTGTGTCGGGGGGAAATTGCTGTTCCCTAGCCTCTGTCTGATTGGATACAGTTAAACAATGGTGGTTAAAAATTCCTTCCCGTGGATAGGGTGGTATCGGCAAAGTCAATTGTCACTAACGTAGTTGTGCTTATTTAGTCTTTTGTTCGGTGACTTTCGTGCAATTTAAGATATCCAAATTTTCCGACACTCTTTCGTTTGACATTATCCCTGAAATGCTCTGGCGAAACAGTCAAATCTGCATACCCTATAAATTCGCTCAAAGCGGATGTATTCCTCCCAAAATCAAACGTGAGAGTTTAGTTCGTAAAGGTCGCGCCACGGCAAGAGATTATCTCGCCTTATGAAACCGGAAACCAATGGAACGACAGGACCTCCTAGCGTCAATTACGATGGGTTAGGATTTCCCGGCGAAAGCATCGCATTGCAACACGTTTACTTTTTTCTATCCCGCTCTCGCATTCAAGAGAAAGACACTAAAACGAACAACCAGAGGAAAGACAAGTAAAGCCAGCAAATGTACCGTTAAGTACAACAGAGTATTTTCTCGCAAGTCGATTTGGAAGGAATCGTCGCTCGAGGGATAAAGAAGTGTAGTGTGCTTGTTCATACACACCGCGTGGATGTGTGTGCTTTCTACATTTTCATAATGTGCTATCCTACTTAAATATGCGTACACAAAATATAATATACAATAGGTGCTAATTCTCACGTGCCAATATGTTACATCCCCTTCTCTTAAAAAACTATGTTAGTTGAAATGAAAACAAACAAAAACAAAATGTTCATTCGGGCCAATGTCTCAGGTACACGTATCTTGTATATACGTTGACAATGAATAAAATTAGAATATATAGGGATTTTCTGTCTAGAGTTCATGTATCATGCTAATAATAACTACTAAAGCAAGCGTCAGAGATTAAGTCTTTCCGGTGCTCGGATTTCACGTCCCGCGCGAGATTTTCTTGGTCCTTTCTCGGCTTCTGTTAAGGTGGGACATTGTGGGTTGGCGCTTGAGGGCCGTATAATCAACTTGCCACTCGATGGGTTGTTTGCTGAATTGCCTGCTGTGGTGGACTCTCGTGGATTGGCGCTTGAAGATTGTGCAGTCATACTTCCTTGAGGAATGTAACTCGACAAGTTGTTTGCTAAGTTGTTGGAAGCATTATTTGGTCTAAGATGGATTCTATTTCTTCGTAGTTGAGCACCAGTTCCAGTTTCTATAAAATACGAGCGAGGGGTCTCTCCCTGATCTATGGCTCTAGCAGGATTCCATGTCTTTCTCACGGGGTCTTGTACATAGATGGCTTGGTTCCTGTGTAGTTCAGGGAGTTCTTTGGTGTGCCTGTTGTAATAGTAGCATTGGTTGTCTTGGCTGTCTGGAAAACACGAATAGCGAATAGCGAATATTCGCGAAAAGCGAATAGCGAATAGTCCCGAATAGTGCGAATAGTCTCAAATAGTGCAAATAGTGGCGAACAATCGCCAAAGGTGGCGAATAGTGACGAATAGTCATCAATAGTCACCGCTTCAGATCTAATATCCTGCGTTAATTAATTATCCAATTAAGCAACAGAAATTCAGTGAATTTATTATCTTTTCTTCTCTGAACTCAGGCTAGGGCTGTCCATCGCCGACATTAAGAAAACAGAAAACACAAGGATAACCTAATAAAGATGTATTTACGCTTTTGCAGCTGTTAAAACAGAAGAAATTACGTTTAGAAACACCTTTTGTCTTAATGAGCGTCTGGGGTGTCAGGAATAGCGAATAGCGAAAAGTCGAAATTTTGTGTAAATGTGCAAAATCAATATTCATTGTCACAAAAATTGATCGCATAAAAACCCCCACGTTTTTATAGTCTTCATCGATTATCATAAATCATGTGTAGGTAAGGTAATCCAA